AGTCTAGACGCCTGGGCAGGGCTGCTGTCTGGACAGTCCCGCTTGCCGGGCCCTAGGACCTTGGTTTCCTGGTGGTGTCCTTGCACCTGTCCCTTGTCCTCCGGGGACAGCTCTGTGTCCAGGCCTGGCTCTGGGACACCCCTCAGCAGCTCCGTCTTCGCCTCCAGAGGCTCACTCCCCTCGCCTTTGTTCCAGGACACCTCCACCACCAGGGTCTCTTGAGGGGACACCTCTTCAGGGAAGTCCCCCGGGATGGGCCATTGCCACAGCTAGAAAGGAGGGCGGGGCCAAGGCGCTGGGCGGGGCCATTCCCACCCCCCCCATGGGCGGGGCCCAGCCCTGGGGGCAAATCCTTTAAAACCCTGAGACCCATTTAAGGGCGCCCCTGCCCGGGCGGCCCTGCTGGCCCGGCTCCCGCACCCCCACGTCTTTCTGGGAAAAGCCTCCCTCCTCCTCTCTGGCAGGTGGCCCCGCCCTGGTCTAGCAAGGAGCATGTGACCCTGGCTCAGCCAATCATAGCATCCTAGCCCCCTGGTTCCAGCCATAGGCCGAGCGGTAAGCACGTGACCTAAGCTGGACCAATCGGTGATGACCCTGAGACTTTGGCTGCAGTTAAAGGGCACAACAGGGCCTCTTCTCCCCTGGGGAAGACTGAGGCTGCCTACGAGAGGAGCCCACAGGGACCATGGCCACATAGAGAGAGAGAGAGACCCCAGAGCCCTGGATCCAGCTGTGTCTGAAGCCCACCATCTTGGCATGCCCCCCCATCAGTTCTGTTTCTCTGCCAGGAAATGATCTCTCTGCATTGTTACTCGCCCTTATGTAGATGGAGAGGGTTTGGGGCAGGGGGTTTGGAGATCTATCTCAACAGGCTGGGGAGGAATCAAATGAGCCAATACATGGGGGCCATTGCTCAGCGGAGCTCTGCGCAGAGTATGTGACCATGGCCTGGAGCTGGAGTTTGAAACATTGAACATTTACCTGCTTCCCTTGGCTGCTGGGGAACTCCACAGCGGTGCTGACGCAGGGTGTGGGCAGGGGTGGACACAGGTACCGGGCGGCCCTTAAGTCAAATTCGGTCATATTTGGCTCATTTTTTTCACCAACATGAGGTTATGAAAGGTGTGAGGGGGGGATGGGGGGGTCCTGTAGATTCAGGTTCAATCCCACCTCTGCCCCCTGCTGGGCCAACCCCTGGCTCTCTGGACCTCAGTTTCCTCGTCTGTAAAGTGGGTACCGTGCCTCCGCTCCTCCAGTTGGGAGGCTATAGTTACTGCTGTGACTCTTACAGGTCACCCCGGGGAGAAGACGCGACTTACCTGTTGAGGCCGAGGTACCCAAGGACACCCAGGAGGAGGACGCTCACGAAGCTCCCCAGAGACAGGAAGGGGATGGGCAGGTTGGAAACCTGGGCTTCTGGGGGTGGGAGAGCTCGGGTTGGGGAGGGAGGAGGGAGGGGGAGACCC